TGCCAGTTCCAATCGTCAATGGCCCACCCCGCCTTACGAGGAACGGGACTGGATGAACCCGACACCTTCCACTTTTCTGACAGAGTCAACATCCAAATGATTTCCTTGCAAAGGTCTTTTGTTTATACTCCTTTCCTCTCGCTTTTTGAAACTTGCATTTTCGGAAAACTCAAAAGAAGAGAAAAGAGGTCATAATGCGCATTACCGGCTATCTCACCGAGCACGGCGTACTGGGTCTGGTGTCTACCCTGTTTACAATTTATCGGAGGAGTTCTTCTGTCTTTTTATATCTGCCTTCTTCTGATTTCCCCTTCTGTTGCGCATATTGTATGCTTTTATCACTTGGTTGGCATCGGTCTGCCCTGGGTTCGGGTTTTTTCACTGGTTCTTTTCGTTCTCATACCCCCAAAGGCCTTTTATAGACGGCGGGCCTCGCAACTCGTTTTCGGCTGTTTGTCTTCTGATCTTTCCTTTGCTATTTATAATTCGTGGCATCTGCTCCCCTGCTCTCTGATATACCCTGATACCGAACGCGCGAGTCGCGAGATCTACCTTCACTTCCTATATATACACATATCCTCTCATCAATCCTTGGCTCCTAGCATTCACATCTTTCCTTTGTCCATCACTCTTTCTCCTTACACCGTGTATAATCTTTGGCATGTAAATCGTCGCCTGTCATTCCTTTCTGTTTCGCCTGGGGGTGGTGACTCGTTTCGTCGAGCGAACCTTCTATTTTCTCTACTGTACAATTTTGTTCCGCCATTCGTTGAGTACGACGACGGTAGTCGATGGCCAAAGATCCTGTAATATAGTGCCCATTTATCGGCTGCAAAACCCACCATTATATATACATACAGACACCTAATGCAACAGACAATGAACTTTCTGTGCTCATTTGTTCTTTCTGAAGGAGTAACTGTCTAGGACATATTCTCACCGATAGGGTAAACGGCCTTGATGGCCTTTTCCATGCAATCTTTAGACCAAATAAGGAGTAGGCGGAGGATATTCTGTCGGAACAACAATTCTCCATACTTCATCAGAATTTCCCGAAACAGTACTTCAGATATCATGGCCATCAATTCTTCTATTATTGTGTTGCATGAGACTTTCTGCACCTAGTTCTCCTATGATCTGTTTTATTGACATCTTCTCATAGCCGACAATCCCATTCGCGGCCCCACTGCAGCCATTGAAGGCCGGGATAGCTGAATCCTGATTGCGTCCTTCTTCCGACGGCGAGGTCGATACACTTTTTACGGTCACTCAAGTAAAACCAGATAGCCAGTTCTCATCGCATCGCTTGAATCAACAGTTCTTGCTCTTTGCTTCCCGAAAATCCATAATCCAGCATGTCGGCCCAACGACAAGCCTCGTCTGCCTCACAGACTCCACACCTATCACCAGCAGAACTTTCCTACCTCTACACCTCCCTCGCGCTTCCCGACAGTCCCATTCGACCAGACGGACGCTCACCCACACAGTTCCGACCCTTGACAGCGGAAACCGATATCCTCCCAGGCACCAATGGCAGCGCGCGGGTCGGATTCGCAGACGGCACGCAAGCCATCGTGGGAGTGAAAGCGGAGGTTGAAAAAACGGCCCTGGCGGCAGAGGCCTTGAAGATCTCGCAGTTGTCGTCGGGAGATGATTACGCGGCCGATCAAGGTGCGAACGGCAAGGAGGGAATGGGTGCAGCGGGCGGGCACGAATCGTGGGTGCAGATCTCCATTGAGATTCCCGGTTTTCGGGACGACGATGCCTTGCCTGTTTTTCTGTCGGAGATGATGCGGGAGCCGCTGATCGAGTCTGTGTCGAGTGGGCAGGGAGGCGATGTGGGGATGGCTGGCGGTCTGAAGGGGAGGCTGGTCATTAACCGCCGCTGGCATTGGAGGTTGTATATTGATGTAAGGGACCTCGCCTGGACGGTGCATGTAGCCGTGCCCGTGCGTTACCCGGTACTTTGTCGTGCTGATTTTTGGTCTCTTCACTATAGGTTTTGCTGCTCTCGCAGCCTCTATCGTACCCGCTTCCTTTACTCTCTCTGACGACGCACTTGGCACTTTTGTCGACGAGACTGCCCAAACTGAAATCCAAGGGCGAAGAGGACCCGTTCTTCGACGATGATTGGAACGCGGCCGAATATCTCTACCCTCGCCAGAGTTCTGGGAATGCTGCTGCACCCTCACCCTCGCAATTCGTTCGACCTCCAGTGACGCTGCTGGTCATCTCCGTGGCCGATAACATTATATTCGATCCCAGCAGGGAGGAGATTGCCGTTGCAGATACCGTCTTGGCCCTTTCGGTCAGCCGCGACGGGGAGACTGGTAGTCTGAAATTACTCTCTATGAGGACGATTGACCCTCCATCCCGTCTGACACAACCGGGCGTGGCGAACTCGGAGAATGTCGCTATGATAGGGTCTTCCGCTGCTGCAGAGGATGCCACTATCTTGAACCCTTCCACCGGCGAGGAGGAAGTTCCTGGAGTCTGGAGACCTCGGCGTGGTGGGGTTAAAAGAAGCACGATCGCGCGCATGGTGAAAGCGGTACTGGAGAAGGGTGGTGTGGGTGAGGATGTATTAGAGGGACTAGAAGGAGTTTCCGTCGGTTGAGTCGATCATGCAGTGTGAATTGAAGAGAAGCTCTACGAAGCTGCCCTCTGCGCTCAATGTGTATCAGTTGGCTGATTCACACAAACAGCCGGCTCATTCGCTGCAGGTAAAGCGAAACCAGACGGGCCTGCTGTGTGGGAGAAAGGAGTCTGGCGCTTTTAAATAGGGCGCTGATATGTCAGGTCTATGCCGGTTCTCTGGCCGCGAATGGATGCGGAACAGACGTGATGACCAGGAGATATATCATGACATGTACACATAGAACAATGCATGGGTCGACACAAGGTCAAAAGCAAGCATCATAGCAATTTAATATACAGCGCTGAACCGGGTTCCTAACCCGCCGAACCCAATTCTCCATCTATCCAGAAACAACCTACCAGATACCAAGCCACTTCTTGGCAGGCCTCTTCTTCCCTTCCCAGTCAACGTATTCTCCCGCGCCAACTGCAGGAACATCGACCGCGACCGGTGACTGATCATCAACCACCTCCGCAGCCTCTCCCTTGGTCTTCTCATCCGGCTCTTCCAATCCATGCGCAATCCGATACTGGCGCCTCTTCTCCGCATCCTCGACACGCTTGAGGCGCTTCTCCCTCGTCTCCATCGAGTTATGCTGTACATGCATGCGGAAGACGGTAAGCGCCTGCCCGATCGTGTCGATCGGATGAGTCAAGAGCGCAGACCACGGCGGGAGCAAGTGCGCGTACGGCGAGCTATGCTTGAAGTTCGTGGTGAAGGTGAATGTAGCCAGGGATGTGAGGACGCCCTAAACATGCGACAGTCATCAGCCGGGGTCTTCCAACCAACGTAGAGTAAGGGGAAAAAAAAACAACCATAGCAATCCAGATATGGATCCACCGACTCGTCAGAAACTTGTACATGATCGTCCCCTCGGGCGGAAACATATTCGGGTACTCCCTATGTTTCTGCTCCTCCTTCTCCTTCTCCGAGAGTCGTGGGCCGGGGTAGTTGATCGGTCCGCTGACCACCCTGCCATTGCGGGTCGGCACCACCCGGCGCGCAGGGTGCGAGGGAGGCCGGAACTTGTCTGGTTGGGCGAGCACGCGCGGTTTGCTGCTGTTGTCTGATGAAGCGCAACGGCGCGACGAGGGGACTGTGGTTGCGAGGGTGCTCGGGTTGCGGCGGCGGGTTAGGGCGTGCAAGGTTCGGGAAGAGGGTATCCCGCGAGGGAGGAGAAATTGGGGGATTGTTATGGGCGCCATTGTATATGACAGGCGTAGTAGACGTTTTAAAGAGGCTATGTTGTTCTGTGCTTTGGTGCCTCTTGTCCGCTACATTTCCGATAATTTTTTCTCGTCCGCGATGTTGATATTGATATCACGTGACCGTCCCGTTTCTATTCAGACTCAACACATCCAGGGCGATCTGGATCGATATATGCTGAACATAATGCACTAATTTTTGTAAAACTATCTCTACCCGACCTAAAGTAAACATATTAGTACCAGAACATCAGACAGCACTGTCATGGCATGAAGCAGAAACTGCCAAACGGTGTATGCCTTGGCGCCTCAAGGTTCAGGCCGCCAACGTATCGGACCACCAAAGCCGGCGGAGCGGAATTATTTTTTCTGAAAGAATTCGGGTCAGCGATCGACCTAGCGGACAAATGACGACGCTGCCATTTCCAACGCTCAGGAACTGGTTCCGGCTGCTGCAAGTGGTGCAGAACCAGTATGTTGGCAGCCTTGCGAAACTCTTGGAAGTTCACTTATCTACGTTGAAATTTCAGGAAATATGGTGAGCGCATGTAATATGCACCATCTTCGCGTCCGTATGTGTGCTAATTTTTCTCCCTACGCGGACTGGGGCTTAAGGCGACTTATGCTTCGAGAAGCTAAGTCTGAGCCTACAATGAGATCATAGTATACGTGATGTTGGCGATTGCCATTGGGAAGGCAAATCGCAGTAAGACAGAAAATGAATGCTGAATCTGGATTTCGATACAGTTATCTACTCGCCTGCATCCAGATTAAGAAACACAATTGCCTAGAATAGGTATCCAGATGCCTTCTATCCGTACTTCCATAGAAAAGCGATGCCATTGACGTAAGGCAGAGACAAAAAATCCACACCGGCAATTTCCCAGTGTGTGCCTATTTCCCGACAGCGCCCGTTTTCTGTTGAATCATCATGGATCTGATTGGCGGATGTTCAGATCACGGGAGTTGCCGGGGGCAAGGCCGGCCGCATCAATCTACAAATTCCGCCCGCAAGTTTTTCTCCCTGCCAGCTTGCTCCGTTTCTCCCCCAATTGATTCTCCAGACTTTTTTTGGATTCTTCTGTGTTCCAATTCACCTTGTACAAAAAACATTTCCAATCTCATAATCTTCATTCTCATCTACTTGTATATTCAAAATGGGCAAGGACGAAGGTTTCGCTCCTGGTAAGCTTACCTTACTGTTTCCCTTTTCTCGCGGTTTCCTTGTTTCGCTCTCATTGGAAATTGCCATCATTCACTGCGACGGCGGCGTGCTCTCGTATGTTCGCTTCTAAAGATGTCCGGTGAATGGTGGCTGGATCTGAGTGGAAGAGGAGTGATCTTAATCCCCTGGCCTCTTCTCAACCACAACATCCACTTTGGTAGCAAGGATCAGCTGGTATCGCAAGCGTTGCGTCTCGTCGTTACACTTCCAACATCTCTCAGCCCGGTGTCTACTATTTCCACGAGCACACCCCAAGCGGAATGACGAGCTTCGATACCTTCTGTCTCCTCACTACCATTGACATGCGCGAAGCCGAACTTGAAGCGGCGGAAGATGCCAAACAGATGGCTAACATTATCGCGACTCCAGGTGACGCTAAGAAGGGTGCCAAGCTCTTCCAGGTGAGTACAGAACGATGGCCAGTATCTACATGGATAGCGACTAAGATGCTCGCTCTAGACCCGTTGCGCTCAGTGCCACACTGTCGAGTCTGGCGGTCCCCACAAGGTCGGCCCCAACCTCCACGGTCTCTTCGGCCGTAAGACCGGTTCCGCCGAGGGCTACGCCTACACCGACGCCAACAAGCAGGCAGGTGTCACCTGGGACGAGAACACTCTGGTACGTAATGCCATTTTCCACACTTGCTTGATATGAGCCGTGCTAATGCGCCTCTGCAGTTCTCCTACCTTGAGAACCCCAAGAAGTTCATCCCCGGAACCAAGATGGCCTTCGGTGGTCTGAAGAAGGGCAAGGAAAGGAACGACCTGATCACGTATGTTCTTTGCCAAAGGCTCCCTCTGCCCTGGTTGGCATTGCAGGCGCTAACTATTTCTCCCTTTACAGCTACCTCAAGGAGAACTGCTAAACATGTTCACCTTGATTTCACCCTGAAAAATCGCTTGTCTTCTTCAACCTTGTCCCGGAAAATTTGTCGCGCCGATCCTTCTGTGGTAAAAGCAGATGCATGGCAGTTCAACTGGACAGGGCATGTACTATACTACAACCTTGTTTAAACGCAATAGACCTGATATTTTCTGTGTGCTGGAACATGGCGGATATCATAGAGGCCTAGCGTGCGGACTTGTCTATTATCTTTTTCCGATGGTTATGTCTTTGCTTCGGATTTTGTGTACCATGGTTAACGCTAGGTCGACCGACCATAATGAATTAGAGATCTCCTCTCATGATGACCCTGCTTCTTGCTGTGTGTTCTACCTCAGACTGTCGGCGCACGTGCGTCATCGCTCGTCACGTGTTGGTGTAGGCGCCTCCTGACAAGTTGAATTTGTGCCTTGCTGCCTGAAGGAAGTTGGCCGTCGATCTGCTGACTCTCTTGTCTTCCCCCAGCCTGTTGATGATTCGTGGATATTGACACCTAGTTTCAGGTATACTCTTAGCTCCAGCGACGTCGAGTGGGAGTCGAGTCCGTCGTCTTCCAATCTCTTGCTGCTGGTCGCCGGTCTACGGTTTGCGCCTCTCCTCGCCAATACAACGGCCATCTGGTGGACGATCCCTGCAGCCATCATCAGTCATTGCTCCCTAATTGGTCCGGTACCGCAGGCCACGCTGTTCGTCTGGTCTAGCTCTGAGGATGTCCTGCTAGGTACATCCACTCATGCGGTGGACTCTACACTAAAACGTTTTATGATTGATACCTATGATGTTGGCTAGACTGGAGACTACGATGGCACTGTACGGTACAGTACAGCTGGAACCATGGGCACATGACGCTCGACTGGCCGATTTGATTGGTCCAGCCACCGTCTGCGCCCCCTCATCCTCGTGATGGGCCAATCAGCGCGATGTTGAGATGCCCCTTCCCCCCTCCCTTTGGGTATGGTACCTAAGGTACCCGTACGAAGTTACCAGTGCAGTTACCAGCAGCTTATCAGTCTTGATAAAGTCGGGTACATCAGCCAGGAGCAGGAGCATATCTGAGATCGGATTCCCCTCCTCTTGTAACTTAGGGTAGACCGCTATCAAAGTCTTACAGGCATACATTCCATACCAGAGATTCATCCATTCTTGTTGGCTGAAGGTCCATCAGCGCGTCTTCGCGTCTAACTGCTAACTAACGTGGGTGCTTCTACATCTTACAGAACTGAATTTCCCGGGGAATGTGCTGGTCCGTTTGATGCAAGCGCCTCCTGTTTGTATGTACCTCCCGGGCCACCTACAGTACTTTATTCTAGGCATCGACAGGCCAGTGAGTGACTTGTCGCTCTACAGTTAGTCAGATTTAGCTATTCGGGTTTCGGGTCCTCAGGCATCAAGGCTCCCCCCTCCCTCCAACTGAACCTCGCGCAGCGCATTCCCATGTCTTGCATCGTCCCATTACTGCGTCTTGCATTCGACTTGCTAAACTCTTTGCTTCTTATCCGAACTTCTGATTCTTTGCCTCGTCGTTTATTTCCGACAGCACATAGATCAGATCTCACCGGATCTTAGCGCGCTTGCGACTAACCCCTCCTTCAAGCTTTCTACCCATCCATCGCTGTCTCAGAGCTGCACCCCGAGTTGTCGCTTTGACAGCGCACTGACTGAAGTGGCTTTACAACTTCGCTTTAGATTGTGCGCAACGCCGTCCATCATGCTGGACGAGCTGGATAACGTGTTTGATGACCATCCGTCGCTGGATGCGTCGCTAGAGGACTTTGAGAACAACAGCAATGCGCATCGCTCTCCCGTGTTCGGCCTCCCCTCACAGCATTCCGGGTTTCGTTCAGAGGAGTCGGAAGGTGAGGAAGAGGATACCACTCCGAACGGTGAGCGTTGGTCGCCTCCAGGCTTTCGCAGATATGATTACGTTCAAGGTAGCGGGTGGTATCGCCATCAACCCTATCTGCGCAAAGGCGAGAACGATCGGCTGGTGCTGAAGCCGACCGTGGGAGTGAGCCCGTCGCTGTCGCGCGAGGCTAGCCCACAGTACGAAGATGCGATCGAGACCCCCCAAGTGAAGAAACGCAGCGAGTCGGCCGACACAGGAGATGCGACCATCGCTGCCAACGTACCGTTACCTGCGGATACGCCACTCAAGGGACGGTCCCCGAGTCCCGGTCCGGCGCTCAAGGCAAGCCCCGCGGACGAGGGATTGGACTTTGGGCCGGAGAATAACTTGAGCAATTGTAGGCTTTATCTTGGTTTGCACCCTTGACCAGCAAGCTGGCGCGGGATACTAATGGGTGGACCTTTTCTCAAGATATCCGGTTTGCTGTGCGCGCAGAAGTCCAGCATCGCGAGCCATTTGTCGCATTCTTTGGTTACTTGCGATCCAAGTTCGACAAGATCACTAGTTCCAAATCCAACACCACATTGTCCATCCTAGTTGCGTTTCTGTCCATCGCATTCATGCGCGCATTGTTCTTACCTAGTCTCCCTCAGTCGATTCCGGATCTGGTGAAATTGTCAAGCTTTGCGCGATCCTTTGAGCCTCTCATATACTACTCGGAGAATGGAGTACAGCAGATCGGGACGTTGCAGGAGACCGGTGTGGCTGTCTGGGATCTGAGTGAATCCGTCCGCGGTACCAATATGACCAGCGCACCGATCATTGTGCGCCAGCTAGATGAACTGTCGGAGTCGCTGAAAACATTATCGCTGGAGCTGACGCGCTTTTTCGCCAATGTCGACTCCGACGTCGACTCGATTCTGATAGTCATGGACTGGGCCAAAAGGGAGCTGGAGACTTTATCGTCGCAACCTCCAAGTTCTTTGCCGTCCATTGTTCTCGACAACGTGCATGATCTCTTATCACGGCTCGGCACGCTGGAGCGTCTGGCCGCTCCACACGGTGAGGCGAATAGCAGCCAGCTGACAACCACCCCAACCACATTCGGTCTCGTGGTGACGGCCGTGTTGGGACAGACTTCCGCCCAGCGGACACGGGCCACTCTCACGCGAACCTTCACTGAGTTTCTATCTGTCCTTGAAGAGTCCATCAATAGTGAATTGACCCATTCAACTGCGCTATTTGCCCTCTTTGAATCCATAGATCGCCAGTTTCTCAATCTTCAGCGTACCGTTGTACGCGAGTCGGACGCCCAAGAACGGGCCGAAGGGGAGATGCTGAGCTCCCTGTGGACGCGAGTCCTCGGTCCTGATGCCGCTATGGTTCGCAAGTATGACAAGAACAAGCGCCTGTTGGCCAATGTGCGCAGCCGCACTGTGGCCAACAAGCATCTACTGATGGATCACCGCGGCCGTCTCCTGACACTCAAGGTCAACTTGGAAACCCTGCGACGAAAGCTGGTCAGTCCACTTGTGCGCCGAAACGACTCTGTGAGCTTTGTCGGTGCTGTCGAGGGAGGCAGCAGCCGCAGTCATGGACGGATGCTCGGGCCAGTTGAAGCGGTCATCGAAGGCCAGATCCGCGGGCTGGAGGGTACCTACGAGTACCTCCGCTCCGTCCGAGAAAAGCAAAAGGCCAAACTCATGGAAATGGTATATGGAGCTGGGCGCAAAATCCCATCGCCTTCCATGTTACCAGACGGATCGGACGATTTTGGGTCGGATACCATCGAAGGGGTCTGAACGCCGCCAGAGGAGGGTTGCAAGGGGGTTACCGTTCCCCCCCCCGTTCACACACACATCTTACGTCTGTTGTCCTCCTCTCCTCCTTTGGTTTAGTTGTTTAGTCATTACGGCGTTTCATCCCCTCGCTGCAGGCAATTCTCTCGGCGTTCTCGGTCGATTACTCCCTAGACTTCGCGCGTCATCCATGGTATCTGGTCTGGGTTGGCTTCCGTCAACGAGTTTGTCAAACTCGTCTCTTCTTTTTCACTCCCATTTCCCGGCGAAACTGAGGTCAAAAGCAGAATAGACGAGTGGCCTTTTTGTTTTTCTTTCTTTCTGTGTTTTGTTGGATATGGAAAGGGCTGGTGTTCTGTAATTCCGTTCCTTCAGGATACATACAGCAGGTAAGGAAGGAAGGTGCTAGATGGCGCTTATATTGGCTTTGTCTTTTTTGCGGTCTTTTTATATCGTGATGCACTCTCTCATTCCTAGCATAGGGTCTAGCATGTACGACGCATTTACAACTCAATCTACAAGATACTCCAATCTTCCTCATGTTCGCGGTCTAGATGATAATTTCCGAGATTTCATTTTCGCAGCAAGATGTACAAGTATTGTTTAGATCCAAAAGAAGACCCCACCAGCGAAAGAGAATAGATGAATCGAGAAATATCGACAGAAATGAATCAAATCAGTCAGCTTATGGTATGACCTGTGTTGGATGGAAAAGAATCCCATGTGAACTTGCGCCCCGTAAAACAAAACACCATAGAACTCCGTTTCGGATGCTTGCGTGGAACCTTAAGGCTACAGAGAAGTCGAAGTCGCTTTCCCTCGCCTTGCTTCTCCCCGCCCCAATCACTTTTCATGTTCATTTTCGGTTCGGTTTTAGTTTTCGATTCGGGAAGATTGAAAGGACTACAGCCTAGAAGCCGTACCCACCGCCGCCGTACGGCGTTGCACCGTAGGGAGTTGCCGCGCTGGCTCCCCATGCACTCGTGCCGCCGTTGGCGTATGCCGTGAACCCGCCGTCCATGCCCTCTGGCGGCTCGTATGCGTCGGGACTGCGGACGCCCATCATGTCCTCGTCTTCGGGGAGGCCGTTGTGGCCGCCATTGCCGGCGCCGGAGAGGGAGGAGATGACGGTGGCGAGTTTGCGTTGGAGGACGATGATGCCCTGCTGGATGATCATGTCCGGGTCGAGGTTGCCGATGCTTTCGACATCGATGTAGAAATTGTTTGGTTGAGCGTCGTAGTCGAAGGGCTGGTCCGGGGGGGCGGCGTGTTCCCAGGCGGCGTTTGCGGAGACGGGCCTGGGTGAATTATTAGCGACTGCTTTTGCAGCGTGGAATCGAACGAGCGCAGAAAAGAACGAAAGAACAACGGTAACATACCATTCCTTGATGGGATCCTCCTCGTACCAGTAATCCACATGCCGGAGGTTATTGTGCGGGTCATACTCGAACCCAACAGCGGCAGTGGGCGCCCACTTCGCATGCTCCTTGGCCATCCCCTTCTTCGCAATACAGGTCATCTTGAGCTCCTGCCCCCGCCGCAGCTTACAGATCAGAGGGCCCTTTCCCTCCGGATCCGTGATAACGGGGTTCCCCACCCACTCGTTGGCGCGCTCGCCGCTGACGACCAGATCCCGCGCGTAGACCGGCATGATCTCGTCGCCTGTGCAGCGCGCGTGCAGTGTGAGCGTAACGCTGCAGCGCGCGCAGTGGTCCTCGCATTCGCAGTCGCGGGTGTACTCGACGTCCTGGTCGCAGTTTTTCGAGTTGAGGGGGATGAGGCCCAGTCTGTGGGCGAGGAATTCGTCGGCGAGCACGGAGGTGTTCTTTTCGACTTCGACCAGGTCGATGGCCATCGTTGGGACTTCGGCGAGGATGACTCGACGAAGGGAGTTGGCGAAGGCGAGATCGACGGAGCTGAGTTTGAAATCGACGCGGTATGGCTCGGCCTGGCCAAAGCACATCAGCAATGTCCTCTCTTGCAGCTGTTTGACACAGAATTCTTCAGAGACAGCTCGAACACACCTCTCTCACGGTCACCTGGGGCCCTGTGGGCTCAATATCCATCTCATAATCCATCTTCGCGATAAAGACACAATGATGCTGGTCGCCACCCTTGTTTCTCCGTAGTTTAATGCTATACTC